TTTGTACAAAAGCGGAAGAGAAGCCTTTCTTAATGCCAGCTGTCAGTCCAATTTTGTGCAGATGACTAGTCCATAATGGCTGACACCAGTTGCTACAAAGAGACAGAAAGTAGTTCACCAAGCAATTTCTGTTACCATTCTCAGCTTTAGCCAAAGGATTGTTTCTTGCTTATTTACCATATGCTTATGTACAGTTTTTAGACTTGTCTAGCTCTGGTTTTGTATTTATCCTGTATTTCCAGTTTGATGCTTGACTAGATTCCAATATTTTTAGCTTTATAGGAGAGAGCACAATTTTTTTTTTAATCCAAACTGCTTGAGAAATAGTTAATGAAGTGGAAAATTGAAATGTCTAAATTCAGCTGTTGAAGGGATAGCTAGCTCGTTCTGGGTATTAATGTATCCAGATGGAGGGAAAACGTTTTTTATGAGCGTTAGTTCTCAGATTATTCTGGTTCCTTTATAAGCCTTCAGCCCAACTGTCCACCTGTTTTGATCAGCTGGCTTATAATTCTGACATTAAGGTATATACTGTAGGGCCCAGTTATAATGTTTCCTCTTTTGTAAATATGGGGGTTTTTTTCACCTGGGAGAGGTTTTCTTATGTAAATTGCTCCATATGATATATTAAGATGTTCAGAAAAGAACAAAACGGGATATATTTGAATCCAAATGGAAAGAAAAATTTAGGATGAGGAAGGGGAATTGAGGGTCTTTAAGTCACCAATGAAGCAATGAAAAGAAAGCATATTCTTTACCAGCCATGAAATAATGAAGTATCTTGAATACGCATGGTGTTGTGTAATGAAAGTGACTCATTACTAAAACCAGGAGCTTTATGTTTTCTTTAAAAACAATTAAACCTCTGTTTGGAAGACACTGAGAACAGAACAGAGAATGTCTTGGTCTTGCATTCATCAGAACTTGTTTTTATTTCCACTCACGAAAATGATCACATTGCTTTTCCTTTTTTTTTTTCTTTTCAGTTAGCGATAGCCAAAAACAATATAATTAAACTTCAGGAAGAAAACCATCAGTTACGGAGTGAAAATACCCTTATTTTAATGAAAACACAGCATCATCTAGAGGTATGTTAGTTTTACCACGATAAACATAGTAACATCGTGTGGTTCATTGTCGTTCAAATGTTCTTACGTTGCAACTTGAAGTAAGCAGTAGTAGGGCGAAATCTAAAACAACTTTTATTAGGGAAAGGACGTATTAAATCTGGGAAGCTTTATAATGGCATAAATATATCGAAATTATAGGACACTAGATTGTTTTATAACCATATGTAAATCTGGTAGCATTTTTCCTTGTATTCTTTCTATTTTCTTCCCTTCTTCATTTTTTCTTCAGACTGTAAGCTGTATCTAAGAGCATTTAAGGCAATATTATCTGAAAATCTTGTCAAAATAGTGCGTGTTTTAGTTGGCAAACTGTCTGTTCTGACCTGTCTCATTATATGGAATGTCATTTGGAGTAATCGTGTATACAATTGCTGAACTTTTTTTTAAGTTGTGATTTGTAGCTCCTTATGTCACTACTTGTATGTGTTTTACAGGATAATTGGTAAAAGCACAGGTTAAGCAGATGTTTGCATTGCCTGGTACTGAGACAGTTGTGCATTAGAGTGACTTACGGAACAAGGACTGTACTGCAGTACAAATCTTATTTTGCTAGATTTACTCAATTCTCATTTCAAAACTGATGACCACATAGCAGAAACGGTTCTTTCCATGTTTGTACTGTGCTTGGAGAATGTATTTTTAAGCTTCCCGCCCTCCGCCAAGTGTTCAATTTATGCTATTAATTGCTAAACTTGTGATGAAGAAAGATAGTTTTTCTCTATCTTTGTAGGCAACTAAAGTGGATGCTGAAGCAGAACTTCAGACATACAAACACTCCAGGCAGGGTTTAGATGAAATGTACAATGAAGCACGTAGACAGCTTCGAGAAGAATCACAACTTCGACAAGTAAGTGTTCTTTTCTAGGATTACGCAACACTTCTAGAAAAGATGATGCTTGAGAAGAGTCAGTATATAAATATTTCTAGTTTTGCTTTTGCTAAGCTTAGATGCTGCCTTTAATTAACTTTAATTGCCTTTTCTCTAACTGCCTGTAATAAAAAGCGTTTTTTAATGGAGCAGTCCATACATCAGTATTTCTGTAGCAATGTTGCTAGAGCATAGTAAGGAAAATACATTTTTGTTGAGAAATTTTTGGGCAAGTTGTTAGCAGTACTGTATGCTCTGTAGTATGCTAAATCTTTCTTGTGAAAACAGAAATCCTTTAGTTCTATTTTTGTAATTAATACTTAGGCAACTCTATGCAACACTGGCAGGGGAATTCCTTATTATGTGAGTTGTCTTCTCCCAAAATAAAAAAAAAAAAACCCACATTGGTCACTAAGTACATGAGAGTGTAATGTTTATGTAGTGGATAATTTGCGAAGTTAGAGGGGCAGAATTGCCGAAGTGGTGAAATAGGTGGTGCTGCAGCTCTGTTAGAGTTAGCTTTTGTCTTTTTCAAAACAGATAAAAGGTTGCATGATTATTTAAATTTTCTGTGTTGCATTGTGTTTGTGTTTTATAGGACATGGAGAATGAGCTAGTGGTTCAAGTGAGTATGAAACATGAGATAGAACTTGCCATGAAGTTGCTGGAGAAGGACATCCATGAGAAGCAGGATACCCTGATAAGCCTTCGACAGCAGCTTGATGAAGTTAAAGCAATTAACATGGAAATGTACCAAAAGCTGCAGGTAAAGGAACAGTCTGCTGTTAAACTGATGAAACGACTTTGATGGGAGTGAGAGAGATGCATTACTATTTTGTTTAGTTAGGTACTGCTGTTTCCTTAGGTTTTGGTTTCTTTCCGCTCTTAGGTCAGTTTGTTGTTTTGGGACGTTACTGATGCAAGCATGATTTCACACAAAGCAGTTCTTAAGGCAGTCCCTTAATGTTAGTGGGTTTATAGAAGAAAAGACCGTGCGAATAAGATCATGGCCTAATAACATGCTGTGTGGAATAGAGAGTAATAGTATATCTAGTGAGAATGATGCTTTTTGGTGTGCGTTGTATAAAAAACCAAGAGAATGTAGGCATATAGTGAGGAGTTAAAGAGGAGATCTGAACTTTCAAAGTAAGGAAAGGCATTTGGAAAACACCATTTTGTTAAATGTAAAAAGCTAATTACCTTTTTTTTCCCCCCAATCTGTTAACAAATTAAGAAAATCTGTATCAATCCAATGCTTCTTTGGGAGAATATGGATCCGAGAGACCCAACATGCAGTTAACAAATGACCAAACACCAGGAAAATTTAGCAGTGAATTATTTATGCAGAACATAAATTTGATTTATGGCATAAATTATCAAAAACAGCACAAGAAACCAGTCAAATCTGTGGCAGAGTGAGGGGAAGAAAATCAGGATGCTGCAGAGAGATAATTGAGATGGTGGACAAAGGATGCTACTTTTCCACCTGCAGCTGTGAGGAAACTGGACCAGAGGAAGAGAAATATAAATAGAGCTGGAAAGAAAAATAAGAAGAGAATGTTCTTCAGTATGTTAGGATCTGTAGGGTTTTGTTCTTCTTTTAAAGCTGTACTTCTAGGGACTGTGGGTAACATTGATTTCACTTAATGACATTCCGACCCACTTCCTGGGCAGAGTAAAACAGTTTAGTTGTGCTCAATCTGCTGGTTTAGGGACCAGTTGATAGTGTTGATCTGTATAGCGAAGATAATGTTCTACCTTTTATTAAGATCTTCAAGCTGCAGTTGTAACAGCTCTGCAAGCAATCAAAATTGTGAAATGTGCTAGTAAAATTCTTAAAAGATTTTTAGATGCATATGGTAGTTTGATAAGAGTTGCAGAACCATAGGGATTTCCAGGACTAAGCATCTTAGTTCTTTATTGGTATGGTTCTGATGGGCTACTTAAAAAGGTGATTAGTGAATTTAAGTTGACTGGCAAAATGATTAACTAAGAACGGAAACCAAAATGAAAACCGTATACTTATTAAAGAGCATCTACACTTGCAAAGTACAAAACTACAGATTTGCTAGGCATAAAATTTTAAGTACTGTCAACTACATCTTTTAGATGGGAATGTTTAAAAAGAATCAAAACATGGAGCCATTTTAACATTTTTCCCTGCAGATATTGAAGAAAAACCCCCATGAGGTAACAGTGTAATGTATACCTACTTGAGTTTTAACCTTTTTTTGTAACACAGGTTTCTGAAGATGCTATGAAAGAAAGGAATGAAATAATTGGTCGATTAGAGGATAAGACCAATCAAATTAATGCAGCTATGAAACAACTAGAAGAAAGGTACAGGCTCATCTTTGTTTTTCTTCATTCATTCCTCCATCCCCTTAAATTTTACTGCATTCCTCCACAGTTGACACTGAAATGTAACTTTCAACTAGAAAATTTAAAAAGAACCTTTCTGAAACTTTAACTAGTGCTTTACTGTTTGATTTTTTTTTTTTAACAAATACACTTATTTAAAATAAAAGACTCAATCTTTCATTTTTCTTCCTCCACCATCTTTCTTCCAGTCCTAGGTTTTTGTGCTGATATGAAAGTTGTTCTTTCAGCTGTTTCAAAATTCTGAATCATTATTACTGCTTTTTTTTCCCACCTGAATGAAATGCAATAGAAACCAAAGCATTAATCTTGCTTATACTTAAGCGTGTGCTTAATATAAACATTTAATGCCTTCATGGATCACTGCTGTATTTGCTGAAGCTCTTAAAATTGTTGTCCGTTGCTTTGGAAGTACCATTATTTTCAATGATGTAATGAGTTTTTACACTGAAAGGTTGAAAAGTGAAAGACTAAAATTCCAGTACATGAATTTACATTACGGTTAGACTGCATGTGTTACATATTATTAAAATGTGATTTATATGTTTTAATTTAGTGGCCTATATGCAACACCGATCTTTTTAATTGTAAAATATAACATATCCATAAGCCCTGTCATGTTGGTGTTTGACATGTCTTTTTTTTTTCATTTAAATCTGATTATGAAAAACATGGTTATGTATTAAAAAAAATAGTGACATGAATATTCTTTTATTGACATCCTTTTTTCCTCTTTTTTTCTTTTTCTTTTTATCCTTTATCCCAATTTTTGTTTTTACTATTTTGCTGCCTTCATCTGTCTTTGATTTTTGTCCACTGCATTCATGAAGTGACAAAGATCTGTTAACTCAAACTAGGACTATTGCAATGTCATTCATCAAATGTGCCAGCAACGAAGCTCAGCACCAGTATAAACTTGTCAAAGATATATCATTCTGAAAGCTCCTCCAGATCTGTTGTGTTCAAATAATTACTGATAAAATACACCTTAATAATTTTAAAATTACAATTTTAAATATAAAGTGGTATTAGAAATCCTGCACTGTAACTGATCGTAGCTGGGTTCTATTTTGTTTTCTGAAAGAACAGCGTCTCCGATCTCACTTTACCCGTCTTTAAAAAAAAAAAAAAAAAAAAAGGAAAGAAAGTAAATTATTGCACTATTATTAAGCAAATGTAAGCTAGTTTTCTAATGCTATTTAATCACTTCCTAATTGTCAAAGTTTATTTTAAAAGGTTAGCTATCTTTACTTTGACTGTACATTTTTATGACATTTGTTTCGAATCTAGTGATTTTTCCTATTCTCTATGGTACTAACAGATCTAAAAAGTAGCCCTTCTCACTAGTATTTCCCTTCTCCCCTGCTTATTTCTTTCACTTTTAGACTGTATTTATCCCAAAAGCATGCTCTCTGTTGGGTTTCTTGGTTGTAACTAGCACTGTTTTCTTAAACAGCGTGACAGGAGTTTGGGGGAAGGGGGGTCGAGTGCTATATCAGAACAATATATTTAAAAAAAGAGGGTGGCGTCAACATGTATGTTCAGTATGTACAGTGGAAGAATTACAGAGTTTGGGGATAAACCAGCTAAAGCACAATTCCATTTTGCTGATGTGACGTGGGGTAAACTATTTTCGTGGAGTTCAATGTGTCTGCAGCCTGGGCTTGGATGGGGCTGCAGACAGGGAGGGCAGCGTGCTCTAGCAAATTTTGTAGCTGTGACTCCTGCCTAGAGCAGCTGCAGCGTGAGCAATGGCTACAGTGGAGGTAGTAGTAACAAATAGCACTTACTCAGGGCCCAGATCCTGGGCTTGTCTAACGTGTTTGTCAGCCAAGGATCTTGCCTGTCTGTTCGTAATCCTAACCTGGGGTTTTGCCCAACCCCTTTTCCCTCCCTCCACCCGTCATTAGGCAGTCTTACAACTCGTATTTCTGCTTTGAGTTGCTGCTCACCTGCACTGCAGAAATGAGAGTTTTAGCTGCTGACTGCCCTTGATGTGCTTCCCGATGTTCGCTCTGAAGTGCGGAGGGGAAGTTGACTGGGAAAAGAATCTTAAGGTGTTTCAGCAGAAGGCGATGTGTTTGCCAAAGTGGGGGCAGGATGCAATAATACAGAAAGGGTTTCTACTCCATGATTATATATTACCTTATTCCTTGGTTTGGAATCAGAAAGAGCCTTTAACATCAGAAAGAGCCTTTAACGTGGGTCGGCTACTAGAAAAGAAAAAAAACGTATCTCCCATTCTCAAAGACAACCCAAACCAGAAACGCTGAATAAACCAAGTAGACCATAGCAGAAATGGGAGAGCTGACCATCTCACGGTCATCTATGCAAACAAGTACCTGCCTCAGTATCTGAATCGCAAATCCTGCTGCGAACTCGGTCCAGCTCAGCTTTTGCCTGAATTACAGCGGTGCAGTTAGCCTTGGTGCTAGTCTAGAGAATGGTGCTGTGGGCTGGGTTGGCTGGCGTGTTTCTTGGCTAGCAAGCTCCCTTTCTACCTTGGTTGTGGAAACTACGCCGCAGTTTAATTTGTGATTTAGGGAGGGTTTTAACTTGCTTTTGGTGTTACTGTCTTGCGTAGCTTCATTCAGCTTCTTTTGCCCAGTGAATTGACCCTGCTTTTTCCCAGCGTTCTCCTTTCCATACATGTTTTGGCCATCTGTGCACTGCCATTGCAAAAGTGACTGGGAACGTTCTTAAAACAGCCGGTATAGTTGAATGAGATGGTACGCACTTTATAAGGTAGTTTAATTCCAGTCTTTTTTTCATTTGTTTACTGGCAGCTCTTGGGAACTCCTGCTGGCGCAACTTCATCAGTAGAAGCACAAATGTAGACATATTGCTGACTTAATTTCTTTTTAGCTGACATGGGGAGTTGTGAGTTACTCTGCATTCAGCTAGCTGCTGGGAAGTGAGAAGTCAAGCACAGGGAGTATCACAGATTTCTCCCACCACTTACCTGAGAAGCGCTTGAAACAGTTTTGTTAAGATGCAAGCAGGTGGGGACATTCAGTGGTATTTTACAGGCTGCTTTACTCTCCTGCCTTTTCATCAAGACAGGTGTAGCCATGACACAGCACAAGTTCCATTTTAGTACCTTTGCTTTTGTTACATTACACCCATCTTTTTTTGGACTGAAGAGGTGACCAAGCAGAAAGGAACCACAGCGAGCTAATGGATTCCAAGGGGAGTGCTAGCTGAAGCAGGAAGAAGCCCCTGGAATTCAGAAAGGAAAGATTAAATTAAAAAAACCAATCCCTCACTTCTTGATTAATCGGTTTAATTTATTTTGTCTATAGTATGGAGCTATTTTAACCAGTGTAAGAATGCATTATTTTTAATACAGATTATTTAAATTAATTTCATAATATGATGTAGTTGAGGTAGTTCTCTAAATGTAGTGGGACCTGTCAGGGTGTGTCTTGTTGTATTAGGCTAGTTACGTTTTGCTGTCTGATTGCAGTGCTCTGTATTCAGCCTTATGCCTGAATTGTTTTGAGCTGCTTTTGCACAACACATGCTCTGCCCTGTCTTAATGGGTGATTAGTACAAGCCAAGTACTTTTACAGGATTTATTTAAAAAAAAAAAAGCTTCCGAAAAGAACACGTGAACATATGCTAAAAGAAAAAAAAAAAAAGCATTAAGGTATATGCTTCAATTCTAAAATATGTATTGTTATGCTTTGGCATCTGTTATTCATGAGTATCAAATAAAACAGTGATTACTTACAGTGATTACTGTCTTACTGTATGAAAACCCAGGAGCTAGTTCTCTAGGCATTGTATGGATTTCTCATTTGAGTTTGTGAGTTTCCCCCAAACTTTGTTTTTATTTAGAAATGTTTCTATTTCCCCATTTTTCTTTTATTTGTCTTCTTCACCCTCTACACCCTAGTTCTAGCTTCAGTTTTACCCAAAGTTGATTTGAATTACACCAGATTGCAGCAAGCAGAGAAGGCTCAAATGGAGGCTGAGGCCGAGGATGAGAAACTTAAACAGGAATATGTGAATAAATCTGAAAGTCTGCAGAAAGAATTCTCCCAGAAGGAGAAACAGCTGTAAGTATATCTTTCCTGTTTGGAAAAATACACAGCAATAAACATTCTACATCGCAATATGTCCTGTGTCTTAATACAGGCTGGTTGTTGATACGGTTTTAAACAGAATGTGAATACTGAAGATCTTCGTGTTAGGTACTGGCAAGGCGGAAGAAAATGTGCTATTCCAAGAAAGTCAAGCTACCTGTGGGCACCGCTAAAATGGTGTGCAGCTTGAAAGGAGGGGGAAGAACAGCATTATTTTTTGTCTACAAGTGCCAGCTTAATTCACGAGGAAATTATCATAAGTGGGGGAAAATACATAGTGCGGTAGTAGTAGTAATACACACTTTTAACAAAACCCACAAGTATGTAGTAGCATAAACTTCAACAGAAATGGCATAAGAATAGTTTAATTGATCAGGCTTATGGATAAGGTAGAATTCGTTTAACTTACCACTGTGCAGGAAATAAAAAATAAAAATCCACTGGAAACATAAATATTAAAAAGTAATATAAAAGCCAACCTTCTACCCTTTCTCCTGTTAAATCCTTCAGTACTAATTTAAATAAATACGTAATGTAAAAAGCTCCCTGTAAGGGCAGGTGTTTTCCCTGTTTGGAAAGATAACAAGTAAATCATTTAAGGCAGTGCAAATCTGTGTCAAAACAAGGATTGGGGCTTAAAAATGAGTGGTTTCCAATCCAGTTATTAGCCCACTCTGCCTCTCTTACAACTCTGAATGTCAATAAACTTGTTTAAGTGTCATGACAAATGTTCACTTTACTACCACAGCCATCTTTGCAGATTTTGGCAAAAGAACAGTTCAGACCCCAGCCTTAGAATTCTGCAATTCTGAAACCTCAAGGTCATGTTCACTTCTGATCTTTTCCAGCCAGATGCTGAGGTAGTGTCCCAAAATGTAAGTCTTTCCTTAAAAATGCTTTTGGTTTTAAAACAGGAAAATTACTGTGGATACAGGTTTTCCAACAAAACACCTTGCATGACTACTCTCAGATTTTTTTCCTCTTTTATTGTGTTGGCACAATTTAAATCTAGAAGGCTAAGCAGTGCGCTTCCATCCTTTGGTTTCTCTGTAACATTCTAAACATCAACTCTTCCATGAAACCGTAGTGACATCCCAGCTAGAGCGGATCTTCCATCAGAGTAGCCCTAATTCTTTTAACTGGACTCCAGTTAAACTAATAGAATTTAGATCCTTCTTTATGTTGAACTTCAGCTATGTAGGAAGCTCAATAAAACTAGCAATTTAAAATCCTTCCTCCTTTATTTTCAATGCTGTTCAAAATGCCATAAGCCTTAGTCTAAAACAGAAGATTCGCATCTAAGGGTGTAGTATTAAATACCTTTTATGAGCACCAGAGATACATGCAATCACTGTCTGCATCACCAGTGGCAGTGTGGTTGGTTGGTTGGTTTTATTCTAGAAACAAGCTATGTAAGCTTAAGGGGGCTTTCCCTTACGCACGTAAAAATACTTCAGAATTTTGTGGTTAATCTTCTCTTGCTCATTTATTACTGTCATGGTTTAGCCCCAGCCAGCAGCTCAGCACCACGCAGCCGCTCGCTCACTCCCCCTGCCCTGATGGGATGGGGGAGAGAATCGGAGGAGTAAGAGTGAGAAACACTCCTGGGCTGAGATAAGAACAGTTTAATAATTGAAATAAAGTAAAATAGTAATGATAATAATAACAATACAATAATGATAATAATAATATCCAAAGCAAGTGATGCCCAATGCAATTGCTCACCACCCACCGACTGATACCCAGCCAGTTCCCGAGCAGCGATTGCTGCTCCCCGGCCAACCCCCCCCAGTTTCTATACTGCCCATGACGCCGTATGGTATGGAATAGCCCTTGGGGCAGTTTGGGTCAACTATTCTGGCTGTGCCCCCTCCCAGCTTCTTGTGCACCTGGCAGAGCATGGGAAGCTGAAAAGTCCCTGACCAGCATAAGCAGTACTCAGCAACAACTAAACCATCAGCGTGTTATCAACATTCT